GGACTGCTGCAGAGCATAGTACAGGAGGTTAGAGAGAGCTGCGGGAGAGCTAAGTGCAGTAGGTGGGGGGAAAGGTGCAGGAGAGTATAGTGCAAGAGGTGCGGGGAAAGCTGCAGGAGATGGGGGGACTTCAGGAGAGCATAGAGCAGGAGGTGGGGGAAAGCTGCAAGAGAGCATAGTGCAGGAGGAGCGGGGAAAGCTGCAGTAGAGTATGCTGCAAGGAAGCATAGTGCAGGAGGTGTGGGGAAGCTGCAGGAAATGGGGGAACTGCAGGAGAGCATAGTGCAGGAGGTGGGAGAAAGCTGCAGGAGAGTATAGCGCAGGAGATGGGGGGGAGCTGCATAGAGTATAGTGCAGGAGATTGGGGAGGACTGCAGCAGAGCATAGTACAGGAGGTTAAGGGGGAGATGCAGGAGAGGAAAGTGCAGTAGATGGGGGTAGAGCTTCAAAAGAGTATTGTGCAGGAGGTGGGGGAAAGCTGCAGGAGAGTATTGTGCAGGAGGTGGGGAAAGAACTGTAAGAGCGCATAGTGTAGGTGATGTGGGTAGATCTGTAGGAGAGCATCATGCAAGAGATGGGGGAAGAGCTACAGGAGAGTATAGTGCAAGAAGTGGGGGGAGCCCTGCAGGAGAGTTTAATGCAGGAGGTGAGGGGAGAGCGGCAGGGGATCATGGTTCAAGGGGTAGGGGTAAAGCTGCAGGAGAGCATGGTGCAGGAGATGGGGGGGGGAGCTGGAGGATATTGTAATGCAGGAGATGGGGGAGAGCTGTAGGAGAGCATGGTGCAGGAGGTAGGGTGGGGGCTGCAGGAGATCATAGTGCAGGAGGTGGGGGTGGGTGCTGGAGGAACACGTAATGTAGGAGATGAGGAGAGCTGGAGGAAAGCATAGTGCAGGAGATGGGGGAGAGCCATTGAAGAGCATAGTGCATACAGTGGACATAGAGCTGCCAGAGAACATAATGCAGATGGCAGGAGAGCAGCCAGAGAGCACGGTGTGGACAGTTGGGGGGGGAGGGGTTACATTGTTTTCAGCAGCTGGCAGTTGGGGAATTTTTTGCACTCTTCTGATTAGCTGCTCACAGGATTATAAATTCAAGGAGAATTCTTATATGGAGACCAGAGAGGACGGCAGCAATGCGGGGCTGGCCTGTTATGCTGGGCATCATTTTACTCTTTCCTGTACAATAATCATCCCAGAATCCTCCTTGGGGACAATACTCCATCACCCTGACCGACAGGAGAATTAGATTACCTTCAATATGGAGTCCTTACTCCTCACCGTGGCCAAACACAGCTCCCTTCTCCGCACAGAACCGCTGGCTGTCCTCACTCATCTTCTTATCAGTGGAGAGGAAATAACATTTGTGATTGGCTAATGTCCATCCCGGGGGACACTCCGTATGCTGATCTGGGGTACGATAAATGAGAATGCATATAACAGAGGATGGTGAGTTACTATCAGAGATGATTACTTGTAGGCCAGCCTATGTAATATATCATCAGTATTCCCGGCACCATTCCATCCATCGACTGTGCTGGGGAACCTGTGACTATATGTCTATCCTAAAATAAATATTTAATTGTTGTTTCTTTCAGAGAGAAGTAATATCCATGTAAGCCGACTGACCTGACGCTGATATGGCTGTTCTCAGACATGTAACTCTCTGATTGGCATCTTCCAGCATCTGGGTCAGGTTCTGTTGGGTCTCCAGACCTCTGTCCCTCTCCGGTCTCAGCTCACCATTAGAAATTCTGTCTGCAACTGAAATACAAGGAAGAGCCAGAAGATTATGTAGATTCTCTAATACTCCACTATGGAGATGACCACATATCACACTGCAATGAGCAAGCCACTGGTCCTCCTGGTACTGGTGGCATTCCCCTTCATCTCTAGTGTAGCTTTTATCTGAACAAATATCAAAGCCGGGTGAAGACACATCCATCTCAGGATGACCAGAGCAGAAGGAAGATGTCACCCACATAAGTAGAATGAGAAGAGATGTAGGGGCATTTGTGGACTTACCGAGCCATGCCAAGACACAGAACTGAGCTATACAAGTCAGGAAGAGGAGGCCAGATGTGTATGGGGAGTTCCAGAAATGGTGACCTGAGAGGACAGAAAAAAGACACTCAGTGATTAAATTCATCCAATATGGTACCTCTGGTGCCCACACCTCTACCATCTACAGTTGCAAAAAAAAGTATGTGAACCCCTTGGGATTCCGTGGAGTTTTGCATGAATTGGGCATAAAATGTGCTCTGAACGTCATCTAAGTCACAACAATAGAAGAACACAGTCTGCTGAACATAATACTACACAAACATTAGATGTTGCCATGGTTTAATTGCACATAACATGTAAACATTCACAGTGCAGGGAGGAAAAAGTATGTGAGGCCCTAGCTTAATGACTTCTCCCAGAGCTAATTGGAGCCAGGAGTGAGCCAACCTTGACTCCAATCAGTGTGATGATATTGGATGTGTTGCTGACAGCTGTCCTGCCCTTAAAAAACACACACCTGTTCTGGGTTTACTGGTTTCAAGAAGCACTGTCTGATGTGAACCATGCCTCGCAGAATAGAGTTCTCAGAAGACCTACGATCAAGAATTGTTGACTTGCATGAAGCTGGAAAGGGTTACAAAAGTATCTCCTTGAGCCTTGATGTTCATGTGTCCACGGTAAGACAGACTGTCTACAAATGGAGAAAGTTTAGCACTGTTGCTACTCTCCCTAGGCGTGGTCATCCTGTAAAAATGACTGCAAGAGCACAGCGCAGAATGCTGCATGAGGTAAAGAAGAATCCCAGAGTGTCAGCTAAAGACCTACAGAAATCTCTGGCACATGCTAACATTTTTGTTGACACATCTACAATAAGGAAAACATGAAACAAGAATGGAGTACATGGGAGGACACCACGGAGGAAGCCATTGCTGTCCAAAAAGAAGATTGCAGCACGTTTGAAGTTTGCAAAAGAGCACCTGGATGTTCCACAGCACTACTGGCAGAATATACTGCGGACAGATGAAACCAAGATTGAGTTGTTTGGGAAGAACACACAACACTATGTGTGGAGAAAAAAAGGCACAGCACACCAACATCAAAACCTCATCCCCACTGTGAAACATGGCGGAGGGAGCATCATGGTTTGGGGCTGCTTTGCTGCCTCAGGGCCTGGACGGATTGTTGTCATTGATGGGAAAATGAATTCCAGAGTTTATCAAGACATTTTGCAGGAAAACGTACGACCATCTGTCCGCCAACTGAAGCTCCGCAGAGGATGGGTGATGCAACAGGACAATGACCCAAAGCATACAAGTCATTCAACAAAACAATGGCTGCAACAGCACAGAATACGCCTTCTGGAGTGGCCCAGTCAGAGTCCTGACCTCAACCCCATTGAAATGCTGTGGCATGACCTTAAGAGAGCGATTCACACCAGACATCCCAAGAATATTGCTACACTGAAACAGTTTTGTGAAGAGGAGTGGTCCAAAATGACTCCAGATCGTTGTGCAGGTCTGATCTGCAACTACAGGAAACGTTTGGTTGAGGTTATTGCTGCCAAAGGAGGGTCAACCAGTTATTAAGTCCAAAGGTTCACATACTTTTTCCTCCCTGCACTGTGAATGTTTACATGTTATGTGCAATTAAACCATGGCAACATCTAATGTTTGTGTAGTATTATGTTCAGCAGACTGTTCTTCTATTGTTGTGACTTAGATGACGTTCAGAGCACATTTTATGCCCAATTCATGCAAAACTCCACGTAATCCCAAGGGGTTCACATACTTTTTTCTTGCAACTGTATTAGCCATTTTTAGATTTACAGTAGTTTTCCAGTAATGAAATCACCTTGGAACTCTCTTGGATTAGACTTTCTCAGGACATTACCTTATCAACTAATAGAGGACTTTACATAATGGTGAAGTGCACAAGCCAACCCCCTTGGTGGGTCATGTCCCCTGTATGTACATTTAGGGTGATGGCAACTGCAACACCAGGTTTGTGGTTAAAAAAAACACATTGTGAGGTCCATCCCAAAATCCATGTAAAGCCTTATCTGTGCATACAGGATAAAGGATTGTGGGCAACGATCGTGCAACTCCCCACATTCTTTTTTTCTTTGCAGTTTTTTTTGCAGCTGCAGTAAAGGAGAGTTTCAAACTTTTATGGTATTTGTTATTTCATTTGATCATTTAAATACCAGAGTGCAACATTTTCATTTTACCTTGAAGCCATCTTTGTACAGATTCATTGAATATTCTGCTTTAGCAATATAAATCACCATCACCGGGATGTGATTATTGATAGGACATCGGTGTAGACCTGCAGACATTGGCCTTATTCCCATTTGGGTTCTTTCCATAAACAAATCTATAACCAGAGCGGGGACTGAAGTGTATGCAAATCCTACTTAGTTTTGCTACAGAATGATCAACTAACCATTTGTGGATACTGTGGCTTGCTACACGAACCCCCAACATTGTCATTGAGGTGCACAGGGCATATGTAATGCACTCTGCCTGCAAGGAAGGTTGGGTTCTTGTTAGTTGAAGGAGGCCAGCACAGGCGTATGTTGTCTGCATAACACGAACCATAGCCCTGGGCGTGCTGGATGTTCATTAGCAAAGAGGTGCGTTTGTGTAAGTGTACATAAAATAGCATGCATGCTCGGCACTGGAATTGGTGCTCAGCAGCCTATATAAACTGAGACACTGAAAAAGGAAATTGCTGAGTGGCCTTTGTTATCCTTCTTATTCTGCCTCACCATATACACTATATTGCCAAACGTATTGGGCCAGCCCTCCCAATCATTGGATTAAGGTGTTCCAATCCCCTCCCAATCATGTGATTCAGGTGTTCCAATCCCCTCCCAATCATTGGATTCAGGTGTTCCAAACCCCCCACAATCATTGGATTCAGGTGTTCCAATCCCCTCCCAATCATTGGATTCAGGTGTTGCAATCCCCTCCCAATCATTGGATTCAGGTGTTCCAATCCCCTCCCAATCATTGGATTCAGGTGTTCCAATCCCCTCCCAGTCATTGGATTCAGGAGCTCCAATCCCCTCCCAATCATGTGATTCAGGTGCTCCAATCCCCTCCCAATCATGTGTTTCAGGTGCTCCAATCCCCTCCCAATCATGTGATTCAGGTGTTCCAATCCCCTCCCAATCATGTGATTCAGGTGCTCCAATCCCCTTCCAATCATGTGATTCAGGAGTTACAATCCCCTCCCAATCATTGGATTCAGGTGTTCCAATCCCCTCCATATCATGTGATTCAGGTGCTCCAATGCCCTCCATATCATGTGATTCAGGTGCTCCAATGCCCTCCATATCATGTGATTCAGGTGCTCCAATGGCCTCCATATCATGTGATTCAGGTGTTCCAATCCCCTCCCAATCATGTGATTCAGGTGTTCCAATCCCCTCCCAATCATTGGATTCAGGTGCTCCGATCCCCTCCATGGACACAGGTGTATACAATCCATCCCCTAGGCATGCAGACTGCTTCTACAAACATTGGTGAAAGAATGGGTCGCTCTCAGGAGCTCAGTGACTCCAAGCGTGGTCTCGTGATAGGTGGCCACCTGGGCAATAAGTCCATCCGTGACATTTCCCGGCTACTAAATATTCCACACTCAACTGTTAGTGGGATTATAACAAAGTGGAAGCCACTGGGGACAACAGCCACTCAGCCACCAAGTGGTAGGCCACGTCACATGATAGGGCGGGGTCAGCGCATGCTGAAGCGCACAGTGCGCAGAAGTCGCCAACTGTCTGCAGAGTCAATAGCTAAAGACCTCCAAACTTGGTGTGGCCTTCAGATGAGCCCAACAACAGTGCGTAGAGATCTTCATGGAATGGGTTTCCATGGCCGAGCAGCTGCATCCAAGCCTTCCATCACCAAGTGCAATGCAAAGCGTCGGATGCCGTGGTGTAAAGCACGCCGCCACTGGACTCTAGAGCAGTGGAGGCGTGTTCTCTGCAGTGACCAATCATGCTTCTCTGTCTGGCAATCCGATGGACGTGTCTGGATTTGGCGGTTGCCAGGAGAACGGTACTTGCCTGACTGCATTGTGTCAAGTGTACAGTTTGGTGGAGGGGGGATTATAGTGTGGGGTTGTTTTTCAGGGGTTGGGCTTGGCCTCCTAGTTCCAGTGAAGGGAACTCTTAAGGCGACATTTTGGACAATTTCATGCTCCCAACTTTGTGGGAAGAGTTTGGGGATGGCCCCTTCCTGTTCCAACATGACTGCGTACCAGTGCACAAAGCAAGATCCATAAAGACATGGAGGAGCCAGTTTGGGGTGGAGGAACTTGACTGTCCTGCACAGAGTCCTGACCTCAACCCCATAGAACACCTTTGGGATGAATTAGAGCGGAGACTGCGAGCCAGGCCTCCTCCCCCGACATCAGTGCCTGACCTGACAAATGTGCTTCTGGAAGAATGGTCCAACCTTCCCATAGACACCCTCCTAAACCTTGTGGATGACCTTCCCAGAAGAGTTGAAGCTGTTATAGTGGCAAAGGGCGGGGCCACCTCAATATTGAACCCTACGGACTAAGACTGGGAGGCCATTAAAGGTCATGTGCGTGGAAAGGGTGGGGCCAACTCAATATTGAACCTTACAGACTAAGACTGGGGGGCAATTATAGGTCATGTGTGTGGAAAGGGCGGGGCCAACTCAATATTGAACCCTATGGACTAAGACTGGGAGGCCATTAAAGGTCATGTGTCTTGATACCTTTGGCAATATAGTGTATAACCTAGCATGCCTCCTGTCCTGCTTGTGGACTTATGCTTTGTACCTGGCTTGCCTGGCTGCTACTGGCCCCAACTTTTTCCCTGGGCTGTGTTTTTGTCACCCGATCCAGTGCCATGATGCCTGGCTGCTCCTGACCTGAGTTTGTGTCCAAGATCTTCCTCTGTCTCCTGATCTGATACCACACTGTTCCTGTGTCTGGCTCCTGCTCTGTGATCCTCAGCTCCCTGCTCTGCAGTCTAGCTGCAACACAGGTCCGGCACACCTTGCATCCCCGGCCAATCTGTACCCTAATGCTGTCTGTCACCACCTTCAGGGGTGTTGAGCAGGAGGTGTGAGAGGAACCCCCTTATCTACTTGGTCTAGCAACAGGTAAATAATTCTGTCCTTCTGTGTGTATTTCGGGCATTCCAACACGTCACGTGTAGGGCGGCCCATTCATTTCAATGGTCTACCCTGCATGTGAGAAACAGAAAAAGGAAGTCCATGAGTGTTCCAATAATATTCAACATTAATCTGAATGGTGCTGCTGCATCATGTTGTTTGGCGTGGACGAGAGTGTGCATGGAGATGCATGGGAGTGCCATTAACAATTGTTTATAAACATCGATCAGACAGGAGATAGAGAGATACAAAGTAACATTGTTTATAAACATCGATCAGACAGGAGATGGAGAGATACAAAGTAACATTGTTTATAAACATCGATCAGACGGGAGTTAGAGAGATACAAAGTAACATTGTTTATAAACATCGATCAGATGGGAGTTAGAGAGATACAAAGTAACATTGTTTATAAACATCGATCAAACAGGCGATAGAGAGATACAAAGTAACATTGTTTATAAACATGGATCAGAGGAGAGATAGAGAGATACAAAGTAACATTGTTTATAAACATTGATCAGACGGGAGATGGAGAGATACAAAGTAACATTGTTTATAAACATCGATCAGACGGGAGATAGAGAGACACAAAGTAACATTGTTTATAAACATCGATCAGACGGGAGATGGAGATACAAAGTAACATTGTTTATAAACAATGATCAGACGGGAGATGGAGAGATACAAAGTAACATTGTTTATAAACATCGATCAGACAGGAGATAGAGATACAAAGTAACTTACAAACACATGCAGATTCCACCTCCGCAATATCGCCAAAATACGCTCCTTCCTTACCCCAGACACCGCTAAACTACTCGTACACTCCCTGATTATCTCATGCCTGGACTACTGCAACTCCCTCCTCACCGGCCTACCCCAGTGCAGGCTCTCCCCGCTTCAGACCATCCTGAACTCAGCGGCCCAGACTCATCCACCTCACCACCCGCTCCACCTCTGCCACCCCCCTCTGCCTCTCCCTCCACTGGCTCCCTATCGCCCAACGCATCAAATTCAAACTACTCACTCTGACCTACAAAGCCGTTCACAACACTGCCCCAAACTACCTCACCGACCTGATTCCCAAGTACCACCCTACCCGTACCCTTCGCTCTTCACAGGACCTCCTTCTATCTTGCTCCCTGATCTCCTCCTCACACGCACGTCTGCAAGACTTCTCCAGGTCCTCCCCCATCCTCTGGAACTCACTACCCCAATCCATCAGACTGTCACCTTCCCTCCTCACCTTCAGGCGCTCCCTGAAAACCCACCTCTTCAGGGAAGCCTACCCCACCCTCACCTAACTGCTGCCCTCCTTCATTCCTCCTACCACTCCATCCCCCACAGCCACTTCCTCCTGTACCTCTACCCCCTCCCTCCTAGATTGTAAGCTCGAAAGAGTAGGGCCCTCTTACCCCTCGTGTGCTGCTTGTAGTTGCTGTAATGTTTCATGTATTGTCCCCCCCCTCTATTGTACAGCGCTGAGCAAACCCTTTGGCGCTATATAAACTCAATGTAATGTAATGTAATGTAACATTGTTTATAAACATCGATCAGACGGGAGATAGAGATACGAGGTAACATTGTTTATAAACATCGATCAGACAGGAGATAGAGATATACAAAGTAACATTGTTTATAAACATCGATCAGACGGGAGATATACAGATACAAAGTAACATTGTTTATAAACATCGATCAGACGGGAGATATACAGATACAAAGTAACATTGTTTATAAACATCGATCAGACGGGAGATAGAGATACAAAGTAACATTGTTTATAAACATCGATCAGACGGGAGATAGAGAGATACAAAGTAACATTGTTTATAAACATCGATCAGACGGGAGACGGAGAGATACAAACTAACATTGTTTATAAACATCGATCAGACAGGAGATAGAGATGCAAAGTAACATTGTTTATAAACATCGATCAGACGGGAGAGAGATACAAAGTAACATTGTTTATAAACATCGATCAGACGGGTGATAGAGATACAAAGTAACATTGTTTATAAACATCGATCAGACGGGAGATAGAGATACGAAGTAACATTGTTTATAAACATCGATCAGACAGGAGATAGAGAAATACAAAGTAACATTGTTTATAAACATCGATCAGACAGGAGTTGGAGAGATACAAAGTAACATTGTTTATAAACATCAATCAGACGGGAGATATACAGATACAAAGTAACATTGTTTATAAACATCGATCAGACGGGAGATATACAGATACAAAGTAACATTGTTTATAAACATCGATCAGACGGGAGATATACAGATACAAAGTAACATTGTTTATAAACATCGATCAGACGGGAGATATACAGATACAAAGTAACATTGTTTATAAACATCGATCAGACGGGAGATATACAGATACAAAGTAACATTGTACCCAACACTACAGAAAGCAATCCAATGGCTGAAGAGCCACTCAGACCACTTTCAATAGAGAGCCATCAGCCAAAAAAAAAAGAATACCGAGGTTATGGCTGTTATTTTTATATACATATAGCCGTCGTTTTTCCCCTTTACTTTTTTAGCCATCCCTAATTAACTCCTTCTGTTTCTCTTAAATATTATTTTCCTGTTGTTGTTTTTTTTTTTATATTAACCATTAATATTTAAACTTGTTTTCATTTTATACATTTTGTTCATTTTTATTATTGAGTTGCATTAAAAAAAAAAAATATAGCATTGAAAAAATTGTAATTTTGTAAGTCGCTTTGCAATGCTCTGTACTGGATTTATAACTGTATTAACATTTTTAAATTGGAAAAATAATAAAATCAAATGCATATACAGTGGGGATGGAAAGTTTGGGCACCCCAGCTAAAAATTTGTATTAATGTGCATAAAGAAGCCAAGGAAAGATGGAAAAATCTCCAAAAGGCATCAAATTCCAGATTAGACATTCCTATAATATGTCAACAAAAGTTAGATTTTATTTCCATCATTTACACTTTCAAAATAACAGAAAACAAAAAAATGGCGTCTGCAAAAGTTTGGGCCCCCTGCAGAGTTAATATCTTGTACGGCCCCCTTTGGCAAGTATCACAGCTTGTAAACGCTTTTTGTAGCCAGCCAAGAGTCTTTCAATTCTTGTTTGAGGTATCTTTGCCCATTCTTCCTTACAAAAGTCTTCCAGTTCTTTGAGATTTCTGGGCTGTCTGTCAGCACGGCTCTTTTAAGGTCTATCCATAGATTTTCAATGATGTTGAGGTCAGGAGATTGTGAAGGCCATGGCAAAACCTTCAGTTTACACCTCTTGATGTAATCTCCCGTGGATTTCCAGGTGTGTTTAGGATCATTATCCATTTGTAGAAGCCATCCTCTCTTTAACTTCAGCTTTTTCACAG